TTTTTTTTTTTGAAGTCGTAGCCAGCCTATCTATTCTTCGCCCGTTTCGAAAGGTTCGATGTATACGGTCATCCAGTCCCAAGGCAGCCATTCCTGCTCCCGTTCACCCCCTTCTCCCGATCCCCTTGCCTCCGTTATCAGTCAATGRCATCCCTCGCTAACTTCATGGTCGGATCCCTGACGCAGGCGTGTCTTTCGGCTGATCTGCTCTTTCCGCCAGCCCTTGCTTCGTGGCAGTTTAGCGTGCGCGCGCGAGCCCCCCCCCCTCTCTTCAACCGTATCTCCCGCCCGGATCCTCTGTCATCAACCCTCGCTTCGTCGATGCCTGTTGTGCCCATCCGCCAATGAACTCACTCCATTTCCCGGACACCGGATTATCCCCCCCCTTTCTCTTTTAGCTCTTACTGCCGCTTGTTACCGGGCGACTCTCCCCCTCCTTTCGTCAACCAGGTCAGGTGCAGCCCCACCTCCCCTTTTTCGCAGCTCGGATCGTTTCAGCTCCCCCATACTTCCCCTATGACCTTAGCAGTTCCCCCCCTATGTACCATGGGCCCTACACACCCTACCTTCTTTGTTCGCTTCATATCCTTCCACAGGCGGCAGTCCCTTCGACTCCCATTCTCCCGTGAGTAGTCCCCACTGGCTCTCGGCAGGCTCCCAAGGTCGTCGACACGGGGTCGACCATCGCCCCGAAACTTTCATCCGGCAGGCTTGGTTACTTTGTTAATCTGGTCTCACTGAGCCATCCGTGACGAGGCCGAGCACCTGTTTCGATGTCTGCATGCTCCCTCCTTCGGCCCACGACTTCCCCTTGCGGTCTTCTGCCAGTTTGCTGCGACATGGCCTCTCTTGAAGAGCACCCAACACCGACACTGATCCCGAGCGGGAGTCCGCTCGGTCACTCACAACAGCGGCCCTGGTTCTTCACCGCCTGCCTGTTTTTCAAGGCCCGCCTTGACGCGCGTCTTTCGCCCCACATTTTTCGAATCCGACACCGAAACTCCAATCTTTCTTAATCCGCTCGTGCCTGCTTTTGACCAAGGTATGGATCGTCACTTCAGCCAATCGAAAGGTTAGTATGAATTTTCGGACGCCCGAGGACGTCCTAAAACACCATATCCACACGCACGCATATGTCAAACCAAGTAGAAACAACAAAAAAAAAGGAAAAAATGTCCCCTTTTCAGAGAAAAAAAACTTTGGCTGGTAGACAGCCACCCGACAACCAGCCCACACCCCATTTCTCGCTGTCCCCGGCGAGCATTCCTACTGCATCTCCCCTATCCTTTATTTTAGTTCATCCCATTTCTCCTGGCTCTCCCGGTTACCCAAGCCCCACGATGTCCGTTTTGCTCGTTTTCCCCTAACCACGACACAAAACCCCTTTTGGCGTTACAACAAACCGCCCTTCCCCGACTCACGTTTCCATGTTACATCCTTCCCGTTGGTTTCGCGACACCCGTTCCTCTCTAACTATGGTACAATCACCGTTCCTAGGACAGAGACTCACGGCGCATCATCCTACGACTGTCTCTGTCTCCTCTTCCTCTTCTCGTGCCTCTCCCTCTTCCGTTTCCTCTCTTCTTTTTCCCGTTTGATTTTCAAGGTTTTTCTTGAGGCACTCCTCTCTCTTAGCCTGCGCTTCCCTAACCGGTCAGCATCACCTTCATCTTCTCTAGGCCTTTTCTTCTTCCTCGGGGTCTTTGGTAGCGAAGGCTTCCGAACCCTATACCCCTTCTTGGTTGGGCGAGACGAGGCCCCTTGTCTGGAGGTCTCCCCCTTCTCATGAGTGATGGTCAATTCTGCGTCGAGCATTTCCTTCCCTTTCAGTTTCGGCTCCTCCCCCAGGGTCCCCCTCGATCGGAAGATTTTGAGACGAGCCCTAGTGATAGGGTCCCTTAGCCTACTCTCATCTAATTCCGCGAGCATATAAGCCCCCCCGTCCAATCTCTTTAGGACCTTGTACGGCCCCATCTATTGGTTTGCCAATTTTCGGCTCCAGGTCTTTTCCAGGGACAAATCGTACATCAGTACAAGGTCGTCAATCCCTATCGGCGCCTTCCAGACCCGCAGATTTTTGTCCCACCTATCTTTCCCTTTCACCCTTTCTTTTTCGATGTTCTCACTGGCCGAGGCTACCCTGGCATCCAAGTTCTCGGCTATTTGTTGTATCCGTGCTTCCAGCAGATCACCCCTAGACATGTTGGTTTTCCATGAGACGCTTGTCCAAGTGTCAATGTGGAACTCGATGGGTAGGGGACAATGCCTTCCGAACCAAAGGGTGTAAGGAGGGTACCCAGTACTGGATTTGACCTTTTATTTCATTTTGTCACCATGTTTGGACTATTTTTCCTAGTATTATACTAATGTTCATTGCAATACCATCATTTGCTCTATTATATTCCATGGATGAGGTAGTAGATCCTGCAATTACTATCAAAGTGATTGGACATCAATGGTATTGGACTTATGAGTATTCAGATTATGTGCTGAGACGGGCGTGGTCCTATATAAACCTACTAGTTTATCGAGGTTATCTGCCCAAACCGCGTACCGTAAATACTTAGGCTATTGTTCCCCGCGACCTTTGCACCATTTTACAAGGGCGTCCATAAGTGTCTGGTGACCCCTCTCTACTGGCGCATTGCTTTGGGGGTGATAAGCGGTTGTATAGGCCGCCCCTATCCCTGCTTTTTCCAATAACATCTTGACCTTCTAGCTCAAGAATTCCGCCCCCCTATCCATGACTATCCTCCCGACACACCCGTACCGTGCGATATACTCAGGGAGAAATTCGCTCACCTCCTCCGCCGTCTTTTTCTTAATGGCCTTAGCTTCAACGAATCCGGTGAGGTCATCCTGGGCGTTGATTATATACCGAAGACCGCCGACTCCTTTTGGCATGGTCACCAAGTCTATATGGATCTTCTCGCCCGGAACCGTGGGAAGCGACGGAACCAAAGGTTCTTTGTATCGAACCGTCGCCCTCTTTTGGCAAGCTTCACAGGTCGAACAGTACTTTTCCACTTCGGTGTATTGCTAGTCCCACCAATACAGCCTGCGGACTTTATCCAAAGTGCCTTTAATCCCCCTGTGACCTCCAACGACCCCATCGTGTAACTCCTCTACGACCGCCCTTCTTTCCTCCAGATCGCACAGCACCCTCATGGGTATTGCGAATTTCGTGGGTCTTTTGAAGAGGTGGCCCCCCCGCAGGCAATATCCCAGCGCCTCTTGCTGGATCCTTTCAGTCCCTGTTTCCCTACCGACCAAGTATAGTCTTATGTCTCGGTACTTTCCGTCGTAGAGATTCGCGAGAAAGGTCCTAGGGACCCCTTCTTCCCCTCGGCTGCCCCTAGCTATTTGCGCTCTATTCGCGGCGACTTTCATAATCGCCCCTTCGGCCATTGCCTCTTCTTCCTCCCTAAGCCTAGGCAGGTCCTCTTCTCGAATGGGAAGCCGGGACAATCCATCGACGACCTGGTTTTTGGTCCCCGATATCCTCTCGACCCTATAGTCATAAAGCCTGATATGGACCATCCAGCGCGCGATGGTCGGATCTGTCAATGAGAAATCTTTTTGGACGACCGCGGCCACTGCCGTCGGGTCCACCCTTAGAAGAAAACGTCGTTCGTACAGATAGTGACGGAAGGCTTTTAGGCAATGCAGTACCCCCAACACTTCCTTCTTGAATTGGCTATAATTTCTCTCTGCGGGATTCAAGGTCCGACTCGCGAATTGCAACGGTCTTTCTCTCCCTTCTCCATCTTTTTGAGACAGGAGGCCCCCACTGAGTGCGGTCTTGCGTACGTGGATACTATAAACAGACGACCCTCTTCGTCTTCAAAAAACGGGACTCCCAGGACTTCTCCACCTTCGCGGAATTCCACCTTCAAGGCTTCCATGGCCGCTGTTTGTTCTTCTCCCCAAACCCATCCTTCCGATTTCCTGAGGAGTCTTCTAAGGGGTTCCGCCTTCTCTCCATAGGCTTTTTTGAAGATTCGCCAGTAGCCCACAACCCCTAGAAATTGTCGGACCTCCGTTATGGATTTGAGTGGCGATGGCCAAGTCATCAACTTTGCTAGTTTATCGGGATCGGGCCTCCGCCCCTCTTTATCGCAAATGAACCCATATTTTGATGGAGGATACGCGCTAGCGACTCTTAGTCCCTCTCACCGTGAGGTTCGCGTCGTCTAGTTTCTCAAGGACGTCTCTGACATCTTTCATATGGTCGGCCACAAACTTTCTAACCCCCGGGAAAACCTCTGTCTCATCCTGCTTGACCGCCCCTTTTATCGGGAAATCATCCAGGAAGACCTCTACCTTCTCCGGTATGAATTCCTTGAGGACTGCGATCATGGCTCTTTGGAACACGGCTACCCCATTCTTCCAACCCATCGGTACCACCATCATTTGAACCAGCCCTAAGGGTGTATGCATGGCGGTCATGTGCCTGTCCCGGTAATCTAAGGGAATCTCGTCGTATCCTGAGAAGAGATCGCAAATAGAGTATATTGAGCGACCCGCTGACCCTTCCGCTAGCAAGTCGGCCTCAGGTATAGACCCCACGTCTCTTATGGTGACTGAATTGGTCTTTTGGAGGTTATGGATCCATCTTAGCTTGTTGCTACCTCCCTTCCTTAGAAAGATCCACTTATTGGAGTAGGCGCTCTCGCAAGGTTCCGCGACGAATGTTCTGATCTTTTCCTTGATGAAGGTCACAATCTCTTCTTTCTCCTTTTGAGCATATTTCCATTGAGGCCTATCCTTCCAAGGGACGTGGGGGACCGTGTGGATCCGGGCTGGCTCAGCATACCTTGGGTCGATTCTCCCTTTCTCCGAGTCATCAAAGACAATGGCCTTATCGCAGCCCCTTAAGGTCATTGCTATGAACTCTTTTTCTTTCTCCGTGAGATTCCCATCTCCTATATCCATTTTGGCCAATCTATCGGCCGTTATCCTTTGCCCCTCCGTCTCTTTCCTCTTCCTGATGATATCGGTTATCTTCTCTTCCGATATCGTAGCTTCCCCCGTTCTATCCCGGCCGACCGTGGCAGGTTTCACTTTCTCCGCCACGGTTTTGTGCTTCTTAACTCCGCCGGCTAGGGGGATCCCTTCAAAAAAGACAAACTGACGCACCCACCGAACTCCTCTTCCTCGTCCTCCTTCTCGTACCCCATGCCGTTAATTACTATCCTATCCCCCACGTCTTCGATTTTTAATTGGTCCCCCTTGGGTCTTCTAGCCGTCAAGGGCACCTCCTCTAGACGGACTCGTCACACCCTCGACTGGGCCCCCTTGCGCCTAGTAAGGCTAATCCGGTTAAGTTCATCTTGCGCGTCCACGGTCTTTAGGACCACTATGATTCCATCAGGACTTTGGATCGAGAGAGTTTGACTTCCATCCGGCAAATCAACTGTGGTCGCATGTACCGCGCTTAGCCAAGTCCTCCCGAGGATTGATTCGGAGCAACACTCTTTTACCGAAAAGATCGGTAACGTGGCCTCCACACCAGCTACCTCAATTACAGGACTATGACACACCCCTTCCGCCGGTTGCAGCTTGTTATCTTCCACCACCATCGACATTGACACCCCTCGGTCTATCTCCAGGCCTAGCTCTCGCGCGATGGAATCCCTACATACCGTAGACTCGGACCCATTGTCCACTAAAGCCCTCATCTTTTTCCCACTTACCACCGCCTGGAGCTGGCCACTCTCCAGCACGTAGAACTTCTTGGCCTCCTCCCCCGAGAAGAAATTGGCCGGCAGTTCCTCCATGGTAATGCAGGTGGCCTGCACTTCTTCCTTGGCGGGACCTTCTACTGGCACTGTTGGCACTACTGCTAGCGGGACCCTCACCTTCCTTGTGATACTTAGGAGCTCCTCCCTGGCACTTTTGCTTGCGGCTAGGTACTCTAAAAGGGTGCACTGCATGGGCTGCATCAGTGTTCGCCTAAGGGGTGCTACCGTGTCTATCTCATCCAGGGTGCACTTCATTTCAAACTTTTTGGGGCCCCTTTTCTTAGGCGATTTTGGCGAAGTGGGCTCTTCTGTTTTTTCCTCCACTGCTTTCGCATCGGTCATTGGTTGATCATTGTCGCCGCTTTTCACCTCTGTACTTTCTGTCACGCTTGCTTGGTTCTCCGATGTCTCAGTCCCGACCTGCATCCTCACCCTTAGGCAGGGCCTCTCCTCCTCGACCCGGGTATCTATGAACTTGATGCTGGATACTTGGGACTCTCTAATGGACAACCCTTCCGGTGACTCCACCATTTGGATGTGAGCCACGCTCGAGGAGCCCCCGACCTCCGGCTTCTTTCCTAGCCTAGCCTCTTGAAGGGCCACCCTCTTATCCACGTTCACCTTCATCGATGGATAGAAGGAGACCGCCTCTCTGCTATCTCCCCACACAACCCACTTGTTTTCATTCAACTTGACCACTCCCAGTCTCAACGCCTCCGTGAGATAAGGGCAGTCCCTTTTGATGTGTTTTTCCTCGTTGCAGTAGACACACCTGGCCTGAGCTTGGGGATTGTTGGGACGTGGACCCCCTTGTGCTGGTGCCGCTATAGGCGCAGGCGGAACCGGTGGTGGTGGTGTCGGGGGTGGTGGCGCTCTAACTTCCGGTCGCGGCCCTTGGGCCCTAGCTTGAGGGGCCTCTCCCCACCTTCCATCCCTAGCATCCTTCCAATGGGAATTCCCCCAATCGGAACCACGATCCCCCCCTATTTCCTTGTCGTTCCTCCAACCTCCCTGGCCAATTGATTCGTTCCTCCATCCGGTAGCCCGGTCTCCCCACCGGGGACCAGGCAGAGCCGGTGGCGGTCTATCGCTCCCTCTTGGACCATCGCTCCTCATCCCTCGCATGTGGCGGAGAGCCATGTCCAAAGTTTCTTTCATGTATTCTCTTACGTTTACCCCTCCTCCTATGAAAACCACTTCGGCTACTTTCTCGAAATTCGCAGAATCCCTCGGGGCCTTTTCAAGGACCTCCTTCCTCTTCTCTTCGGGCAGATGCAGCATGAACATTACGCACCTGTCTACCTCGGACAGCATGCCCCTATCCACTAGGGCTTGGGACAGACGCTTGAACCTACGGGTAAAGGCTACCAAGCTCTCCCTCTCCCCCCTTGTAATACGTCTCAAGCCCTCCACGGTCGGGATCAGGTCATCACAGGCGAAAGTCTGCAACAAGCTCGCCCTGAAGGTCCTCCATCGTCCGTCTGAAGGGTAGATAGCTCGGATCGCGGTGTCTAGCTCGGGGTCTGAGTGTTGGATTAAATAATCGATCCACTCCCTCTCGGAGAACCTCTTGCGGTAAGCGTAGCTTTCCCATTTCTCCACGAACCCTGTCACATCTCGTCCATCGAAAAAAAGGGCCTCCAGAGCCAAGTTGACGTCATAATAGGGCACCCGTCGGTCGTCGTATCGACGAAAATAGGGACCTTCCATAGGCCCATCGGTTGCCGGATCATACGGTTTGTACCACGAGGGATCGGGCTCCTCTACCCGGCTCGGGGTCTTGATGGCTCCCAGGCGTTTTCCCCGTAGCGACCCCGCTCATCCGGCCAGTCCGCTTCCCACCGAGCGTGGTCCTGCCCTCTAAAACTCCTCCGGGCCTCCATCCCTTGACTTCTGCCCGTTATCTCGCCAGGTGCCCAAGCCGCACCTACCTCTCGCACGGCCCATCTACGCGACCTACTTTCAGCCTCCACCGGCCTTTCTTCTCTATACCCCTTCTACTTGGCCCCCCTTCCTCTTCTTTTTGGTGTGGTCGGTACCCCCCCATATCTCTTGGAAATTCCAGGGCTTCTCCCATTCTTGCGCCCGGCAAATCCCCCCACCGAGATTCTGCAGGGAGGCCTCTCGAGCCCTCGATCATCCCTTCCCACGCAGGCAGTCGCCTTTCCGTGCCAGTTCTTGGTCCCACTAACGCCTGCCTTTCACTGGCGACGCCCTCCGGAATCCTATCGGCCCATCTCCGCGGCCGGCCGTCGGCCTCGGCTGACCCCCTCTCTCGCAGGTCTCTCCCGCCCCGGCACACTTCTTCCTCTCTCCTAGGCGGTCGATATCCCTGTCTATCTCTAGAGAATTCATGTTCTTCCTCTAATCGGGCTTCCACATCCATCAGGTCAGCCCACCGGGACTCCACCGGGACGCCTCTCGCAGCTTCGGTTACTCCTTCGTTTATCGGCACCCGTGGCACTACATCTCTGTGCACTCGCACTTTCGTGCCGGCCATTTGCCCCTCTGAAGCTGGTCTCTCCCCCGGAGCCATTTCTGGGACCCCTTCGGCCCTATCAAGCGTCTCCTTCCCCACACTCATTTCTTCCACTACCTTTCTTAGACTGGCCCCCAATTCGGGGCTCTTCACTATCCCCCTTCGTTCAGTGTTTTCCGGCGGACGAGGGAGACCAGCCCCCGCTTCACTCTCCATGCACCCTTACCCGCTATTTCTAGTCGTCTCCCTCACTACCGTCCGTGTTACTACCCGGCTCGTCCTCCTCACCACTGTCTCCGTTACTTCCCGAGCTCTTCTTCTCCTCTGTTCCCTCCTTCCCCTCACTAGAATCCTCGTCCGCACCTTCCCCCTCCGACTCCTCACTGGTAACTGTCCACCAAGAATCCCTCAGTTTTTTCTCCTCACTGGCGGCCAATGCAAGATTGGCGACCTCTAGGTCCGAGATGCCTCTAACCCCCTCTTGCACACATCTTCTAATCAAATCCCTATCCACATCACCAGGCTGCCCGGAGATAGAGGCTTGATGAACTCCCCAACGCGTGCCCACCACTCGAAATCGGTGTCTTCTCTCGACTCCCAGCACCGGGTGAATAACTCGTGTCCCCCTTCCTCGCCCAGCGGGAATTTTTCTATCACTTGACTCCTCAATCGGACTTTCCTCGCGGTCTCGTCGTCCTTATAGAGTAGTCGATAGGCCCAAGTAGGGATATTCCAAGTCCTTCCATGGCCTGCTCTCGGAACCTCTTCCCTCCCTCGGTATTCTACCTTATCAAATACGGGTCCCCCGGTACCAACCCTTCTCAACCTCTGTACTCGTTCTAGGGCTTTTTCGGCGATGCCTAGAGGGTCTTTCCCTCCCGCAAATTTAGTTGCGAAGACTAGCTGGGCGTCAGGGGACAAAAAGATTTCCGCTTTTCTAGTGCAGTCGTTCTCATCGGAGGCCACTGAGAACCTGACCACCGTCTCCTGCTCGTAAATCTCAAAGAACTTGGCAGTCACATCGCCTTCTCCTCTAATCCTAGGAAGAGTCACTCCATATTTCGCTGCCCACATAAAAACCCTTTCTATGGTGCTCTAAGGGTCCCCCCTTTCGTATCTAATCATATGGGTTCTCACCTCACACCTGCTAACCGCTCGGCGGCTTGAACCAAAGAGTCCTCACACCTAGCTCGACCCGTCCCCCTATTCCCCCTTAGGGTTTGACGCAAAGCCTCTTCGTATTCGCTTGCCCTATCCCAAAATCGAGTTTCCAAAAGGTGTATCCTAGACATCAGTGGCGTCCCTAGACACGTTGAGTCCTCCTCGATCTTTCTCTCTACTTTCAGCAAAGGCTCTCTCCAAGTCCTCGAGAACCTCACGCCACTCGCGTCTCTAATGTGGACCGAAAAGGTAGCTACTAGTGTGGTCCAGTTCCTTCTCTTCCACAAAGCCAGCCTCCGGTGTTCCACTAGAAACTCCGTCTCGGCACGGACTATCCGCTCCTTCCCCGATTCCGGGTTAAGCTCGACACCTCCCTCGACCCTAACCTCGCTCCCATCCTCGTAGGTCTCTAGTTCCCAGCGAATCCTGTTTGAGACGAAAGAGGCTCTCATCCCCTTAACCCAAGAGAAGGTCTATCCTGACCTCCTCGAGGATCGCGGTCGTGGCTGTCTCTAGTAGCTTGATTCTCGCCAAGGACCCTGCTCTAGCCCTCCTTTCTTCTTCCCAGCACAGAGCAAGGATCCGCTGAACTTTGTCCCTCACTCTATCCAACCCCATGAGTCCCTCAAGGTCCGGCTCTGTCATCCCCTAATTTCCGTCGACGACAGGCTATAGCTACCCGAATCAAGTCGGAGAGGTCTAACCCTGCTAACTCTCCCTCACAGATCTTGCCTAAATATCTCCACGATATCTTAGATTCTCTTGCGTGTCGACCCCACCCCTCAAAAGCGTAACCCAGGTCCTTTAGGGTCGACCAATCGTCCCTGCAGGGGTCCCGAAAACATCAAGTCAGCAAGGTGTGTAGGTCTGATCCCGTGAACCTGAACTGACTTAGGATGGAAACTCTTCTTCCCACCGCCTTCTTAACAGCCTCGGAGGGGTAAACCCGCTCAAAAATGAATCGGGGAACCTTCACAGGCTCGCCGGTAAGGAACCGCGGTATCTCTTCCCAACCCCCGTAGGTCACTAGATATTCCTCTTCGCACCCCTCGTGAGGTCCCAACCCCTCCACTAACTCCCCTAGTCGGCCCCTTACGGCTTGAGCGTCCCAGAGAGGGTCCTGCCCAGTCCGTAGGCTACGCGCTATCTCCACAAAGCCTTCCTTCGAGAGGAATATCCTGGCTTCTCCAACCACGACCGGTCCCTGGCGACTCACCATAAAGCGTACAAACGCCTTCCCTCGTCGGGTCCCCCCTTCTTCTTGTAGGAGAGTCCTGGCAGGCTCAGCCATCCGGACCCTAGGCAGAGTGATTCTAATAACTTCCCCGGTATCCTTCACAGGCTTTATGGACGCCTAGAGAGTCCTAGGAATCCCTCTTATCATCGGCCCTCAAAACCCCTCCGGTTAGCCACCTGGTCCTCTCCGAAGAAGCGAGCGTACGGGACGTCCACGACGAGGGAGCGGAGTCCCTCAAACTCTCTCAATCTTCTAAATATGGTGGATAGCTCACTCCTTGGAGTAATTCCCGCATCCACGCACCGAGTAAAAAGCCAAAACATACCCCTAGCCCGTACCCCGGATTCTCGAGCAGACCTAAGCACCGCCACTACTTCCTCCTTCGGGTCCCTTAGGAACGAACTGGCCACGAACTTGGGCAAGTTAGCGTGAAGGACCCCGGAAGTGCGAGGGACCTCTCCGGGCTCGGCAAAGGAAACTAAGGACCACGACTCGAAAGTCCCCTCCTCGTAATCTGTTAACACTAGGTCGTTCGCCAACAGCCTGGCGGACTCTCGGTACTCAAAGTGCGTAAGCTGCCCGGTAAATAACCCTCTCCAAACCTCGATCCACCTCTCTTCGTCGAAAAAAATGGTTGCTTGGATCTCTAGGAAACGACTGATATCGGGTGGACCTCCTCTTTCCACACCCTCCTTCCAAGTGAGCCTTCGCGCTCGAACCCAAACGTAGGCCCCTTCTCTGATTAATCCCCCCTTCTCAACGCTCATCCAATAGGGCGTCACTTGAGGATCTCCTGGTATCAAAACCTTCATGGCATCACCGGTCTCTATTGATTCTACCATCCCGTCTTCATTGAGCATGAACTTCATCATCTGCTATCGGCGTCCTAAAGACCCACCTGTAATAATTCTTCGGAGAGAGAGTGTAGGTCTTTCCCAGAGAGCCCAGCCTTCGGAAAATACCCCAGAGTTTTCTGCGTGGCGGGATACCTTGATCGATGCAGTGCGTATAGAGTATCCACAGAGCCCAGAAGGTAAGGCCCAAACCCCTACCCCTTTCTAGAAGACACACTATCTTTTCCTCATTCGCCCTAGGGAACAGGTAGGATGGCACCCTCAGAGTTAAGGGGTATCTCGATCTTAGGAGTTCACCTTCCCTCGCGAACCTTTCCCTTTCCACGGGCACGAACTCAAATCGCTCTCTAACCCTACTTACCCATTCTCCTCTTACCTCTCTCGCCTCTCGCAATAATTTTTCCAGCCCACCCCCTTGTCCCAGAACCAGGGGTACTACAAGCTTTGCCCAAGCTTTCGGTGCTATGAAAATAACCGCGGTTACTTCAAGGCTCCGTCCAATACCTTGGCCTTCTACTTCTTTGGACTCTACCCACACAAATTCTCCACTGAGTGTGGACCTCCCCTCTTCTACCCTTTCCCAATCCGGCAGTTTCCTGTTGCTAGGGATCAACCTAAGAGTCTCACGGTCTTCTGATGGGGACTCAAAGAAGCATCCCTGCCTTCTATCGTGGAACACCATTCATTTAGAAGATCCTTTGCGACACTCCGAAGACCCTTTGGTATCCGTAGTCCCTTCCTCTCTCGCGGTCTCGGGTGGACTCCCTAAAGATCCTGGAACGAATCCTACCAGCCTTGATTCCGTACGACACAAGGTTATCCACGCAATAGGTGTAGTACCAATGGAGTGACCTATCTGAGAGTTGGCACCCCTTTTCCCACACTATGGACCGTACTGCCCTGTCGTACCGTTCCTCCTCCCCGCTCACCCTTCGGAAAACAAATAATGGGAATATGGCCCTGACGCACCCTGTAGCATGGGGGTATTCTTCGTCTCGCGCGCAGGTCACCCTCACCTCAACGGGTGGGCTATGCCT